GTTTTTGTACTGAGAGAGAAGCCGAGAGTTGCAGAGGAGGCCAAGACTTGGTGATCCAGTGAAGAAATTCTTTTTCATGATAGGGGTCTCTAATCCACAAAATCTTGTACCTTTGTGAGTTAATTTTATTTAATTAGTGTCCTAGCATGCTAATTTGTGATATTTTACTCTAAAGTGATTTAATTGTATATATAAAGTATATGAGTTTGTACGTAGTTGATGTTGTGCAAATTAACATGCTTAATTTGAATTGATTGCCTTGAAAATGATTTTATTGTTATAAATGAAATCTATGATTATGTGTATTAATTAAATTGTATAAAAAGCATGCTTATATGTAAATTTCCATGCTATGATGTTTAAGACCTTGCTAGAAATTGCTATGTGGAAGCATGTTAAATTGTATAGTGAAAATTTATTTATTTTTATAGTAATGACAAGCATGTGAAATGCATTCATAGCATTGGGCATGGAAAAAGGGTAAAATGACTTTAAAAAAATGGAAAAGAGATTTTTGGGGAAATGATTTGATTAAAGTGTTTTTGAGAGAACCCAGTCGCCGCGGAGTCACCAAAGGGCCGGTGTGTTAATATAGCCTAGAGGGAACTAGGGAGACTGCCCTAGCGCGGTTGAGCTATCTGGGCCCCAAACGACGCTGCAGAGGTACCAAAGGCCAGGGACAGTAGCCAATCCTTCTCTCGTGCCGCTGCGAAGTCACCAAAGGGCGGGTTATATTAACAGTTTGTGAAGTGATGGATGTTTTTCTAAAAATGGGGAGTGACATGCATGGCATTACATTCATGTCATGGCATTGTTATTTTGGAATTGGAATTAATGTTGTGTTCCCTCCTGGTATAGCATGACCCCGTTTCCTATTACTATTCATTGTTTGGATTCACGGAGTCACAAGAGGTGTGTCTTAGGCACCACCTATGAGCAATTTGCTCACCCCTTATATTTAATATTTTTTCAGGACACGGATGGCAAGTGGCGGATGACGCTCCTCCACAGGATTCGAGGGGTTCGTAAACCGTTTTAATATACTTTGTAGCTATAATCTCAATTTAGTATTATTATATTTAATTATTTATTTATTATTACTTTTTTTTTTTCATAAAACCGGAATGACACGTATAATATATATTGATCTAGAAAAGAATAGTTTTATCCCTAGTTGACCTCAGGTTCAGTTAAGGACCCGGCTAACGGTTCGGACTTACGGGTTCGGGTCGTTACAAATTTAGTATCAGAGTAATGGTTCGAAAACCAGTAAGACAACGGGTAGTGGCCTACCTAGGGTTGTGTGGAATGTGATTGCATAGTTTACGAGTTTATGTGTTAAAGTGTTTAATTGTTTGAGAAGCATGCTTAATTGCTTACTTGTTTATATAATCACATGCCTACTTGTTTAAATGCTAAAATCTTTGTTACATGACCATGTATGCAGTATATTTATGTGAGGTAATTGAAATCATGTTAATTACGATGAGATGATAGGTACCAGAAGTATGGTAACGACAAGTGGTAGGCATGGTGTGTGTAATTTTATTTTAAATGATAATGTGGTAAATAGTGAACACGGTAGGTGTAAGTATGTCTCTTATGGTATTGTGACGAATATTTAGGCATGGTTATGTAAGTATTATTTTTTTTTTTAATGAAAGACGGGGTGTTTATTTACTTTTAAAAGATGGGACACGATTATATCATGGTATGGAGTATGATTATTATGTATGTGTGATCGCGTGTACGGGATGGTTGCTAGTACGGTGGGGTACTTGTCACGGCATTGAGGGTTGTGTAAGTTTGACTTGAGTAGGCGAGGAGCTCGGTTGCTCCAGGGTTGTTTGGGTGTCGGTTCTTGTCGAACTAATGGCGTGGTCTTCTAGCTCGTGGACTAAGCTATTTGGCGTGTAGTCATCCTGATCTTCTTAGTTGCATTTTGTGCGGTGCTTAGAGCACGACTTTAGAACAGGTTCATATTTCATGGTAAGGTGCCCTTATTATGTGTGAATTTCATGTTTTGGTGTATGGGTTCTAGAGACCATGGGGGTCAAGTGTACAAGTGAGGGTGTTGGTATGACCTTAGGAGGTCAGTGTTTGCGACTTAGGTCATGGTTTGGTGTGGAAGTTCTTTTCAAACCGGTCGTGGTAGGTGTGACGGGGGTTGTTTGAATCACGAATATAGTCTATGAACTGTAAATATGTATTTCGAGTATTTTGGAACGGCTTAAGGAAGTGTGTTAGTTTTGACTGTCGTAGGAACTTGTTTGATTCTGTAGGTCCATGGTGATTTAGGACCGGTTGCGGAATGTAGATCATTTCATGGTCTTGCAGGAGTTTGTTCCAGGGGTTAGTTTGTCGAAGAGTGATTCTCATTTTGGATAGTTATAGGAGCGTGTTACAGGTAATCGACTCTCGGTGAGTCGGTTGCATGGCTTGGTCGATGAGCGGGGTTTTGGGTTGGTGTAGCTGTCTAAAAGGTCTCAAAGTGAAGTATGGTGGTTAGTTTTAGCTGTGTAGGGCAAGATTACACTATAAGGCAGGTAGTATGGGGTCATTAGAGTGCTTGGTTGTTTATGGATGAAGTAATAGCTGGTGAGTAGGGTGTTATCAAATAAATTATGTTTTAGAATTTGAAAGCTGTGGATTCGGGTTGTATTTCAATTGTGTCTGATGTATCAGGAGATAGTACTCGGTGTTTGATAATCCGGAAGAGATAGACTGATGATAAGAACGATTGGGACGAGGTTGATTTTGTGGATTTAGTTGTTAGCCCCATTTGACTTTTGTTGGAACCAATGGTGTTCTGAGGAACGGTGAAGAGGGGAGGTAATGGTGTTGAACCTAGGTTGTGAAGTTCTCCTGTTTAGGCATGCGGATTGCTTAGAAAGAGTGGTTTGAGTAGCCGATTAAGTGTTAGAGATTGACTGCATCGTCGATGGTTTTGAGGTGACAGTTGGGGGCTGGGCATTCTAGATTTTTGTGTTCATTTTGTTTTGAGGACTTGTCGGCATGATATTGCCGTATTAAGGTTCTTTTCTAGTGGTATGTAGTAATCGTTATGGGGAAAATCGAGAGTAATGCTTGTTCTTTAGTTACAATGATATTCTCTTAAGGATAATTGAGGAAAAATCCTTTAGTGGTGACTTGATGGTCCGATGGAATAATAGGGTTGAACTGTTGTTGGAATGAGTGGCAGTAGAGGTGTTGTGGTGGTATAGTGTGATGTTAGTACTGATGAGCTTAATGGTTTAAGGTATTATCCGAGGGTGGATTAGAAAGTATGAATTGTTTGTTGTGTGTTGTCAAGTATGTGATGGGATTGTGCGCCAGTTGAGACGATTGTGGACAGTTTAGTCTTTAGAGCCAGTAAGGACAATGTTGGCATATAGACACCTTTTTCTTTAGACGAGTCAGTGGGTTGTTGTGACTGAGGTCACGGGTCGTATGTGCACAGTGTTCGAGGGAGTGTCACCCAGAAAGGTAAAGATGTAATGGGTGGTCTAATGTCATCGTATAGCATAAAGGTTGTTATTTAGGAGTAACGGGTTCCAGATAAAGCAGGATACAGTGTCCGATAGGCTATGATCGTTCCTAGTGTTTATACGCTGTGAGCAATAGGTGCTCTTATTTGCTTGATTTTGGTTAGCATGGGTGTTGCAGAGAAGCGTGTGCAAGTTTTCGGTGTTGATAGTGTGTGATGGTCCGTTAGTGGCGAGATCGCCTAGAATTGTGTTCATAGTTCCGTACGGGTATCCGGTTGGTTCACTTCCTTGTGCGTAAGGAGTTCATTTCATCTCAGGTGAGATTGGGTGTCCATGGTTAGACGATTGGTGAGTAGAGTGTGACAAGGTGTCGAGTGCATTCAGGTGTGAGTCATCGGTCTCTTGTGAGAGCAGGGTTCGTTAGCCTTTCCGTTTATTCTAGTCCTAGCAAGGACGTCATTCGTCGTAAGTCTTGTTCTCCATTTAGCAGTTGTACGCATCCGTGGGTGTTCTCCATTTAGTGGTGCTTATTTTGAGAGTAGTTTTGACGGCACAAGTTGCAGAATAGGGGTTGCGTTTCTAATGTTTGGTGCTATCGGTGATGGTTAGGGGATGTGTCGTGAACGGCAGTTTAAGGATGATTAGGTGATGTGATGTGAGTCATGTACTCGGGTGTTTTTATTGATGTTTTATTTGAGCAGTGTCTTGAGGACAAATGTTAGTATTGTTTGCGTGCTATGCAGCTAAAGAGTGAATACGTGATTCCATTAATGAATAATAGAAGTGATTGACTTTGGTCTTGAGGTTTCAGGTATGAGACGGTCGTATTATGTGTTTTAAAGAAGTAAAAATTGAATCGAAGGATGTTATGGAGTCGTTTACCTGGTATGGGTGCTATGAAATCATTAGAGAGTTGTTATGCTGATCAATAATGCTGATGTTTGGTGCTGTGTTATTTTTAGCTTGTTGAGGGATTGTGTAACTGAAGTATGATTGGGATTTTTAAAGTAGGTATGTGACTGTATAGTCGTTGTGGTTATGTAAAGCGATGGATTGAGAGTGAGCGAATCTCATGGTTGTTCTGTGGACTGTGTGCGATGGTGTTTAAAGTTTAGACCTGAGGACAGAAACGACGTCTGTGCTGAGATCGGATCGAGGATGAGGATGGCCTGGCCAACCATTTCTCTTGAATCAGTCCCTCTTAGCGCGATGTCGGGTCAAAGGTCAATGATTGTTTTGACTTGTCAGAGACAGCAAGAGCATGGTACTATGTGTCATGTCAGTGTGACAGAGTAGATTCGGATGGTTTGAGTCGGGTGATGAGCTGTGTTAGGCAAGACCATGTGTCCGATAAAGGGTTTGCGGTACGATCACAGTATCTCACATCGCCTAAGGTAGGGATTTGTAGATTTGGTTTTGTGGTTATTGGTGTTTTCGAGTATACGAAGATTATTAGATCTGAATTTCGGGAACAAAATTCTTTTTAAGTGGTGGAGATTGTGATGATCCGGATTTTTTTTTTTTTTTTTTTTTTAAATTTTAATTATTTCATAATTTTTAGTGTATTTAATTTTATATTCGAGACTTAACGTTTACATTTTGGTGTATGTATGTCTGATTGAGATAGCAACCAGCCGTGGGAAGAGAAATTGGTTTTGACTTGATTTGGTTGCATTCATATATAATAGTATATTTTTATGGAGGAGATGATGTTGATCTGATAGTAGGTTTTGATGAGATTTGTAAATATATACATATATATTGATGATGATGGTTATAAAGGAAATTGTATTTGTATTGTGAGGTGTGGGTAGGCTGCCCGAAATGAAAAGAAAAAGGAAATGGAAATGGTGGGTCCCACGGGTGATGGTTTAATAGGCTTGAAATTGGTTACATTGTATATATATATATATATAGTGTGATGAAAAAGGTAGCAGGTGCCGAATTATAGTGAGAGAGAAAAGTTGATATTGTGATAATGGCTTTTGTGGGATCCACTAGGAGATGTGTAAAGAGTCTGAAATTGGTTTTTGGTGCTATGATATATATTTATATATATATATATAGCATCTGATGGGATAAGTGAGGCACTGAAATGATGAGAAAGGAATTTCTTGGCCAAGTTTTGGCCTTGGCTCTAAAGTTTCACGTGGGTTATCTGATGAGTGGAAAGATAAGGGAGCAATGAAAAGATAAGGCAAGGATTTGGTGGCGGGGTCCACCAATGTGTAAGCAATTGAGTCGATTTTTTATATATATAAATTATGATGTCGGTGGAATGTGTTTATATAAGGTGTGTTTTGTGCACTGGTTTAGATTATTAGAGATGAACAGAAAGAGAAAAATGGAAACTTACAGAGAGTTGGCAAATAGAGTGCATAGAGAGAGAGACAGAGAGAGAGCCGAGAGTTTGTGTACTGAGAGAGAAGCCGAGAGTTGCAGAGGAGGCCGAGACTTGGTGATCCAGTGAAGAAATTCTTTTTCAGGGTAGGGGTCTCTAATCCACAAAATCTTGTACCTTTGTGAGTTAATTTTATTTAATTAGTGTCCTAGCATTCTAATTTGTGATATTTTACTCTAAAGTGATTTAATTGTATATATGAAGAATATGATTTTGTGTGTAGTTGATGTTGTACAAATTAACATGCTTAATTTGAATTGATTGTCTTGAAAATGATTTTATTGTTGTAAATGAAATCTATGATTATGTGTATTAATTAAATTGTATGAAAAGCATGCTTAAATGTAAATTTCCATGCCATGATGTTTAATACCTTGCTAGAAATTGCTATGTGGAAGCATGTTAAATTGTATAGTGGAAATTTATTTATTTTTATAGTAATGACAAGCATGTGACATGCATTCATAGCATTGGGTATGGAAAAAGGGTAAAATGACTTAAAACAAATGGAAAAGAGATTTTTGGGGAAATGATTTGATTAAAGTGTTTTTGAGAAAACCCGGTCGCCCCGAAGTTACCAAAGGGCCGGTGTGTTAATATAGCCTAGAGGGAACTAGGGAGACTGCCCTAGCGTGATTGAGCTATCTGGGCCCCAAATGATGCTGCGGAGGTATCAAAGGTTAGGGACAGTAGCCAATCCTTCTCTCGTGTTGCTGCGGAGTCACCAAAGGGCGGGTTATATTTACAGTTTGTGAAGTGATAGATGTTTTTCTGAAAATGAGGAGTGACATGCATGGCATTACATTCATGTCATGGCATTGTTATTTTGGAATTGGAATTAATGTTGTGTTCCCTTCCGGTTTAGTATGACCCCGCTTCCTATTGCTATTCATTGTTTGGATTCACGGGGCCACAAGAGGTGTGTCTTAGGCACCACCTACTGAGCAATTTGCTCACCCTAATATTTAATATTTTTTTAGGACACGGATGGCAAGTGGCAGATGATGCTCCTCCACAGTGTTCGAGGGGTTTGTAAACCGTTATGATATACTTTGTAGCTATAATCTCAATTTAGTATTATTACTATTTAATTATTTATTTATTATTACTTTTTTTTTTATATAAACCCGGAATGACACGTATAATATGTATTGATGTAGAAAAGAATGGTGTTATCCCTAATTGACCTCGGGTTCGATTAAGGACCCGGCTAACGGTTCGGACCTACGGGTTCGGGTCGTTACAAATTAGGTTAAGCATAGCTGCGAAAGCCATTAATAAACTCAATAAGAAGCCAGAAAATGAAGAAATCCGACCTCTGCTTAATCTTGAGGTCTGGATCAGTATCAGATTTTAGAGAGAATGATTCGACCTCTGTTTTTGTCGTCTATCCTCTGCACTTTTCACTCAAGTCTCTCAATGGGGCAAGACTACCCTATGGAGCGTATGTCGTGTGATGGTTGGGACCAAGGCTCTATATATATAAACTATCTTATGAGACTCCTCCCATCAAGTAATAGTCTATCAGATCAACACCTACCATGTGTAATCCTTATCATGATAGGCAATTATATATATTCTTTATCCTATCTCTCAATACACATTATCAGATGTAATTAAGGACCATAAAACAAACTAATAATCACTAGAAGCTCAAAATTCCTACATTCTCCCACTTGGGGCAAACATTGATTACATGGTATAATTTTCCTAAAATTAAATTTTCAGATTGGATAACTTTATTGGCCTCAGATATGATAAATACCTTATTTCAAGATCCTGTCAATAATAATACCAATACGAACCATACTGGATTATGTAAATTTAATCATGCATGACCATCCATGATCGCAACACCAGTATCATAATTCACATGGATCCCCGAAAATATGGAATACAGGAAATAGCATCCATATATCCATATTTGGTCCAACTTTACAGCTTTTCACAAAACCCCTTGTGCTTCAAGCCGAGCCCTTTATGGACATTATGCCTTTTAACTTTACAACTTTGAAGATACGAGAGAAAATGTTTCAAAAGATTATAATTTTGTACAAAACGAAATGGTTCTTATGACGTGTACAAAGAGCTCTAATACCACAAATAAACTAATTTGAAATAATCATACACATACATGGCACACACCGACAAAATAAATAGGTAAAACATACTTGTGAAAGCCATTAATAAACTTAATAGGCCTTGAGGTCTTGATCAGTATCACATTTGATTGAAAGATTCCACATTTTTGGCCTTCCACCCACTGCACTTTTTATTTTTGGTCTCTCAATGTAGCAATAATATGTTATGGAGCATATGTCTTATGAGGGTGGAATGCCAAGGCTGTATGTAGATAAAATATCTGATGAGATTCTTCCCATCAAGGAGTCAATTAATCAACCCCTACAATGTCTAATCCTTATAATAATAGGTAACTATATATATTCTTTATCCATATCTCAAGACACATGATCACATGTGACTAAGGTACAACATAGCCCTAAACTTAATAATCACATTTGTATAGGAGATCAGTAACTCATTATTTGGTCTTAATCATCAATCCTAGTTTTTCTTTAACTTTTAAAACAAACTAATAATCAATCGATGCCCAAATTCTTATGTTAATAACATGGCTATCAAATTGCACTACTGAAAACCAAATTATCTTAGGAATTAACAAGACTAGTATAGTGTAGTAGCATAAGGAATGAAAATATACCTGTAATTGGTAACCTATGTTAACCACAAATGCATTTGGAAGAGGCTCAATACCAATCCATTGACCATCCTTGAAGACTTGAAGCCCATATACATCTCCTTGAAGTAGAATGGTTATGAGGTTAGGGTCACAATGTTTCTGTAATCCTAAAGTTAAACTTGGGTCAGGGCATGGTGGGTAGCGATTAACTGTCAGTATCTGAGATTTGGTCAGTTCATCTCCGAGGCACCCCATTTGAAGTCCTAATCCTTCACAAATCAGCTCCAAAATCCTGAATGACAACTTCCTTACTTCAACTGAATATGTCCCTACCACCTCTCTGCAAAGGAAACATAAAATTATTTAATTATATGATTCAGTAGGCAATCAAATTTATGTGGATTGCGGACATATCAGTTCTAGTTTTAATGCATTGCTGATCATTTGAGTTATACGGGTTTTGGATTAATACCGATATCTAGTTGGCTTTTCCGGCCATAATTGCATGCATTCCTCCAAAGGATGACAAGGATGTCTGAACTTATCTCTCCAAGAGTGAACCTCTTGGTTGGCATAGTTAAAACTGCTCGTGCAAAGCCTGCAACTCTTATTGGTGTCCTCAGAGTAAAAACTTGCCTTGTCCTCGTCTGGCAGATTGAAGAACTCCTTGAATAAACTCCTTGTATTTTCCATTAAATTTTCTGAAACTCCATGGTTGATGACCTGTTTTACAATGCAGTATTTGGTTTGTCATATAAAAACATCCAAGACACTAGCCCAGAGATTAGTATGGTTGGTCATTTTTTTAACAAATCGTCCATAAAGATTGTAAGTGACCAAAATTAAGAAAGAAACTATTGTATAAACCTGAAAGAACCCGAACTCCTGGCCGGCATTCAAAATATGTTGAATAACATCACTTCGATCATGACCGACTAGCTTTCCAATATCAATCACTGGAATGGTCTTGCATAGAGGAACAATGTGCTTCCCCGGTCTTTGGTCAGGTGGAAACACATATGATTCAGGCAAGGAATGAACAGTACTAGACCAATTTGAAACAAGTTTCTCCATAGTCCTCTAGTAACTTCGAGCTTTAGTGATTCTCCTAAACCAAATGTGAATTTATAAGGTACGGTATACATAGAAAATAAGTATAAGAAAAGGTTTTAGAATTGTGTACAAGGTTGGGCATCACAGTCAAGCCGACCACACATAGTACAATAATATGTGTAATAATATGGCAGAAAAAACTAATATCTTTTCCTTTTCTTAAGATTGTTGTTCTGTTATTCTTTAAAAATTAAGTTGAAGATCGATAATAGAGAATGTAAATGGAATTTGTCTTTGTGATTCGCAACAATCCCAAGATATCTATCATTGGGTGGGAACAACTGGAAACAAAAAAACATGGTGATGATAAATAAGTTGAGAGAAGATCAACTACTGATGAATTAGATTCTGCTTATTCAAATGCAAAGCCGTAAAACATTTGCATCTTATATAACTTAAGTTGCAATTTTAATATATTTTTCAATATGGAAAATTGTGAAAGACCTTTGATTAAGAGATATATTCTGCTTAATGTGTTCCACATAATGACAAGTTGAGCCCCAAAGATTTTTTTATAAGTGAACCCCAAAGCTATCTCACTCAAGCTCAACTCGAACTATTTAAACTGGTCAAAAACAAGAGCCAAACAGTGAGAACTTTAAGCTGCTCAAACTCGATTATATTCTACTCATTTATATAATTACAGCCTACCCAGTCGTGAACCCTCTCTTCCGTTCATTTCTTTGGCATCAATCTCATTTTGTGTGAAAAGGTATTAACTACTTCAATGCAACTATTAAGACATATTATTTGCTTATGCAAGAAATAATTGAATTTAAATTTTAAGAGTCGAAGAGTTAAAGCAAGGATAAAAATAGTCAAATAATATAATATTGTTTTTATTATTTTTATATCTCTGCCAGTGTCCAAACAGAATTTGGGTACCTGCATAGTCCCCCGTAGGCAGCAATGGACCCAGAAGGGGAAGCCTTTAACAACGACGACATAAAAAAAAAAAAACAAAGGGTAGAGTATAATAAACTCCCTTCAATTATGAGCCAAGTGCAACTAATCCCCTCCAACTACAAAAACCCCCTTCAACTATGAATTTGGTTAAGTTAACCCCCTCCAACTATTAATCTGATCCCTTCCCTCACCAGAAAATGGTAAAGACCTTTTTACCCCTTAACAAATTAACTATTCAACTATGATGGTAAAGTTGACTAAATGATGTAGAAGATTATAATTTAATGAACCACTAAAAATTTAACACGTCACCAACCTTATCACAAGAACCAATTATATGCTGACAACTCACCCAACTTAAAGAGAGAAAAGTGAATTGAAAATTCATTGAAAACATGTTACGCGACGGAGAGTTTGTCATGGTAGAGACGCGGTCGGAGTCTACTGCTCCGTCCAGTCACCGGAGTCATTAACTCTGGTGAAATCCTCTGCTATTTTTCTTTCGCTTTTCGCTCTCTCGGTTTAGTCTGTGGTTCGTGGTTGGTGTGTTTTGCTGGTCTGGTTTGGTTTTTCTACTCTGTCATGCGCTCGTTCTTGGAGGTTGCTAGATTGCCTCGCTTGTTCCAAGGTGGATCTGCTAGATCTGCAAATCCGTATAGAGGCCCATCTATTTTCTTGGATGATGATTCGGTACGAAGAAGAAGAGAAGACCTTCGGTCGTGTCTGGTTGGAAAATTTGATAAGGAAGTGGGTGATGGGGATCAAATTGCTGCCTGGGCTTCGCGTGCTTGGAAGGTCTCCTCTGGTGTGATGGTCTCGTCTCTGCCGGATTCTTTATTGCTTTTCCGGTTTCCTTCCTCGACGGAAGCTTCTCGAGTTCTCAAGAGGGGTCGCCGTGACTGGGGAACGGCTTCTCTTTCTCTGGAAGCTTGGAATTTTAGGGTAGGGTGCTCGGAGGTGTTGAAAGAGCAGGGTCTGAAAAAGGTGACGCTGTACGGTCTTCCTCTCCACCTTTGGAGCCATGCTCTGTTTGTGACAGTTGGTGATCTTTGTGGTGGGTTCATTTGGGTGGATGCCGATGAAGCTTTGGATGCTGAAAGAGTCCGAATCACTGTCTCTGATGGGAAGGTTTGTCCTCCGTTTGTGTTCATTCATGATGACCAGTTCTGCTATAAGGTGTTTGTTTGGGAGGAGAAGCATCCTGAGCTTGTTCCGACGACTGATAGCCTGGAAGGCGGGGATGGTTCGCACTTGATTAAGGAGAAAGTATGGTAGAGGTGGGAATCCATGGGGAAAAAAGGTATGGCTGAGTTCCAGGCATGGAAGGAATGGAGTGAAGACTTATGGATTCGCAATTCGGAGTGTTTTAGAAGGATTTACAATCAGAATCGCAAGGATGGGCTTTCCTTTTTGTCGGATCGCCGATGGCAGGAAGCGTCTCGGAAGTTGCAGTGGGGTGGAGGTCTCGCCGGAAATAGTCGTAGACCTTTTGCACAGCAGCGAGATCAATCAAGACGACGAGGTGGCTTCCACGCTCAGCAGGCGCGTGGGAGGGGGAGGGTTCCAGCTTTTCCACGTGGTTAGCGCTCAGGCGTTGCCCGTTCCCAATGGAGAACAACTGTTCCCACGATCTATTCAAATTCGGCTCCCCACTCAGATGGGCTTTATGGTGGTCTTGAGAATGGGGCCCTTGTCTCTAATAATGTTTTGCCTGGGTTTGTTGGGCCGCTTGTTGGGCCTAATAGGCCTACTGCTAAAAGGCCTCAGTCAGATGCTTTGGAATTGGATTGTGGTGGGCAAGTCTCTTGTGAGGTGGCTGGTGGGCCGAGCGCCCATTCTTCTAGAGATGATTCTGTTGGTGGACTTTCGGGGTTGAAGAGTGGGCCGAGTTGTGGATCTGGGTTTCTGTGTAATAGGTTTGAGCCTTTGGTATCAATGAGTGATGACAGAGTTTCCTGTGCTGCCGGGTCGTTATCTGCGAATGTCAAGGTTGATCGACGAGTGAAGGATCCGGTACTGAGACGTCGGTTGCATAAGAAGAAAATTATTCTTCCCACTCTTCGCAAAAAGTGGTCAAGGAAAGATAAACAGAAATGGGTGGCATCTTCACAGTCGGGGTTCGATCCGGGTATGTTTTCAGTTTCAGTTCCCTCTGACTCCTCTCCTCCTAAGTTGTGATCTCCTTCTACTTCTTCTCCTTCTTTGGGGGGGTCGATGACTTCTCTGGATCGGGTGATGGGTGGGACTGACACGGTTTCTCAATCTTGGCTCCGGTGATTGAGAAGGACTCGGTTTTGGCTGGAAGGCATGTTGGTGATTCTGGTTATAGGCTTGGTTTCTCTCGGCGAAGTGAAGGTATGGGTGAGGGAATTACGGTTTGTATTGGTCGGGATGTGAAGGTAAAGTTGGATGATGAAACAGCCTCTGTTCTATTGAAGGAGTTACGGGGCCACTTGGCTTTAAAAGGCTTTCTTTCTGATTCAGGAGATGTTTTGACAAAGGAGGAGCCTGTTTCACGATATTGTTCGCATTCTTCTTCAGTTCTTGATGATTGGGAGGGAGCTGCAGGTTCATCCCTTGATGGGGACTCGGGCATGATTCCATGGGAAGATTTGGAACAAGCAGTGAATTTGGCTGTCCCTTTGGCTGTTGTTCCACCAGGGGAGAATTGGGTTAGTGACTCGACTGAGGTTGGAGTGAATGACCTTGAGGAGGAGTGGGTGAGGGAGAAGGGCTTGGAAGTGGGCCCTTTGTTGGGTGTTTCTTTTGAAGGTAGGGTGGATGAGGCAATGTGTTTGTTTAATGATGTCCTCAGTTCTCATTTTAAGATAAAGGTGAGTGATAAGGTGGGGCGGCAGGAGGAGAGAGGGGAGACAATGTTGCAAAGTCCCAATGATGTTATCACATACGAAAGGAGGAATAGGGGGTCCATATCTGGAGGGAGAGGTGGTGGAAGGAGGGGAGGATTTGCTTTTACAAGTGTTTCCCTATGAAGCTACAAATTCTCTAATGGAATGTCCGGGGTCTCAATGATCCGGTTAGAAGGAAAGTGGTGAAGTCGGTTATTCGTAAAAGTAGGGGTCATGTGGTGTGTCTCCAGGAGACTAAACTGGCTTCGATGTCTGATAGGATTGTGAGGAGTCTTTGGGGGGGGAGGGGGGCGATTTGTGGAGTGGGTTGCTTTGGATGCTATTGGCTCCTCGGGGGGCATTTTGATCTTGTGGGACAACAGATGGGTGTCTAAAGTGGATGCTAAGGTTGGGCGTTTCTCTGTTTCTTGCATTCTTGCTTTAGTTGAGGATGGAGTTCATTGGATTCTTTCGGGTGTTTATGGTCCTTCAGAGGACGGTGAGCGCCACTTGCTTTGGGAGGAATTGGGGGAGATTCGAAGTCAATGGTGTTTGCCTTGGTGTATTGGAGGGGACTTCAATGTTGTTCGTTCTCCGTTTGAGAGGTCAACGGGAGGTAGGTGGACGTCTGATATGGAGGCTTTCTCGGAGTTTATTGATGAGTTTGGGCTGATTGATTTGCCCTTAGTTGGAGGTCCGTTTACTTGGTCAAGTGGCCGCTCTCCCCCTACCCTCTCTCGGATTGACAGATTCTTGGTGTCAGGGGAGTGGGAGGAGAGGTTCTCTGATGTTGTCCAGACTACTTTAGCATGTCCTATCTCTGACCATGTTCCGTTGATGTTAGATTGTGGGGGACTGTGTAGTCGACGTTCTCCTTTCAAATTCGAGAATATGTGGCTGCGGGCTGAGGGCTTTCTGGAGAGGGTCCGTCTTTGGTGGGAGGGGTATGGTGTGGCCGGCACCCCTAGTCATGTGCTCGCAGGCAAATTGCGTCTTTTAAAGGTGAACCTTAAGACTTGGAATAAAGAGGTCTTTGGGAATCTGGAATGGAGGAAAAATCGGGTTTTAGCTGAGATTGCGGCTATTGACCGGATGGAGGGTCAAGGGGATTTGGTGGAGGCTTTGAAGATTAGGAGGGCGGAGTGTAAGGCGGAGTTTACTGAGATTGCAATTATGGAGGAGATCTCGTGGAGGCAAAAATCTCGAGCCTTGTGGCTTAAGGAGGGAGATAGAAATACTA